CCCCAACTTCCTGCCAAATTCTATGCATTTCTTCGAACTACCCTCTTCAGTCTTCGTTTCCAAAACAGTCTGGCCCAAATTTGTCTCCCCCATCGCACGATCTTCTTCTTTTCCGTGACAAAAAATCCACGTGTCGATCTCAAATTCATTTGTTTTTTTCAGAAAAATGGCGGCCGCGGGCCCATCGGCCGAAGAGCTGGCGATCCAGGAGGACTACCGCATCTGGCAGCGGAACACGCCCGTCCTCTACGACATTGTCATGTCGCACGCGCTCGAGTGGCCGTCGTTGACGGCGCAGTGGCTGCCCGACGTTATCAAGGTAATATCAAATCACGCTTCAAAATGTCTTTTTTTAGTCCGACAGCCCCGACTACACGGTCCATCGTCTCATCTTGGGCACGCACACCTCCGACGAGCAGAATCACCTCGTTATCGCCCGCGTGCGAATCCCCACCGAAGACGTGCGCATCGACCCCAACCGCTTTGATCTGGACAACCAAGGTAAATTCGGCTTGATTCGTTGTGTTGACAACCGTTTTCTTGTAGATTTCCTCGGCCTAACGTGCATGGGCGGCAAAATCGACATCGAGCAGCGCATCAACCACGACGGGGAGGTCAATCGCGCCCGCCATATGCCCCAAGATTCGAAGATTATCGCCACAAAATCGCCGAGTGAAGAGGTAAAAAAATCAGCTTTTTGCAAAGAATCTTGCGCGGATTTGAAAGAGAGGTTTAGGACTAGGGTCGAAGTGGGTGGGCCTATCACGCCGTAGGGTCAAACATGTAGCAGTTTTTTTGCGCGGATTTGAGTACAGAAAGTTCAGAGAAGAAATTGACATTGCTGGTTGTTTTTTGTTCTAACAGAAACGCCAAAAGTCCTAAATTTTGTCGGGTTTTTATAACTTTTGAGTATCCGAAAGCACTAAAAACCTTCCAAACCCCTAAAAATGTAAAGTAAAGGCTCAGGAGCTTTTTCGCAAATTACTAAAAATTTTTCCTGGCGTGCTTTTCTGTCATCATAATACCCCTGTTCAGGTCTACATCTTCAACTACACGCTCTTCCCCGCCGGCACCGCCCCAGGCCCTTGCCAACCGACGCTTCGTCTCCGCGGCCACACCAAGGAGGGCTACGGCCTGTCGTGGAACCCGAACCAGGCCGGCCATCTCCTGTCCGCCAGCGACGACCAAAGCGTTTGTCTGTGGGACATCTCGGCCAACGTGAACGCCAGCCCGGCCGGCAGCTACGTCGAGGCCAAGTCGAAATTCAACGGGCACACCTCGGTGGTGGAAGACGTCGCGTGGCACGTATTGCACGACAACGTCTTCGGCTCGGTGGGCGACGACAAGAAGCTGCTGATCTGGGACACGCGGTATGGAATCGTTTTTTGGCAGCTTATTGAACCCGTTTTAGCCACGATAACCAAAAGCAGCCGCTGCACAACATTGACGCGCACAACGCCGAGGTGAACTGCCTGTCGTTCAACCCGTACTCGGAGTACATCCTCGCCACCGGGTCCGCTGATAAGGTATGGGGTTTTGACTTGCGAGTTAATTTTTTTAGACCGTCGCGCTGTGGGATCTGCGCAATTTGAAGCTGAAGCTCCACTCGTTCGAGTCGCATCGCGACGAGATTTTCCAGGTGATTTTTGACGTTTTTTGCTCTGGTTCGTTAACGGAAGGGATTTTAAGTAGACAAAGATTAAAAACTAGCTTTTTTAGCCAAAAGTCATTCCGTGAATTTTTTTTCGAGCTAAAAAGGCGCAAAATGCTATTAAAATAGTTTATGTTTATTACTCAGTGTTTAAGAAAAGATACTTTTTGACGCGCCGCGGAACATAAAAAAATGCTTTCCTAGGTTCAATGGTCACCCCATAACGAGACGATCCTCGCCTCCTCCGGCACTGATCGTCGCCTGCACGTCTGGGACCTGAGCAAGATCGGCGAGGAACAGAGCCCGGAAGATGCCGAGGACGGTCCGCCCGAGCTGCTCTTCATCCACGGCGGCCACCAAGCCAAGATCTCCGACTTCTCGTGGAACCCCAACGAGCCGTGGGTGATCTGCTCGGTCAGCGAGGACAACGTCATGCAGGTGAGGGCTTTTACGAGTTGGGACTTGCTGAAGCCGTCGTCTTTCTAGACCTTCTAAAAATCCCCCTTTCCAGGTCTGGCAAATGGCCGAGGACATCTGCAACGACGACGAGGGCGACGCGATGGCCGAATAAAAAGCAAGAGAAGAACCACTTTTCGTACATGTGCTATCATGCTAATCATTTTCATGTATTACTTTTACAACCGATCTCCATTCCACAATACCCGATGCGATATCTAACAGCCCCGTTACCGATTTTCCGATTTTCCAAGCGACCTTAACGTTGAATAAATTTACCTTGCACTGTTTCGCGTGCGCATCTCACGGGCATTGTTGATGGCGGCGAGGGCACGCTTGCGGTAGTCGGCCCAATCGGTGGCGGTACGGGCAATCTAAAATGACAATTTATTAATTTTAGTGATCGATAGAATTTTATTGCCAGCCAATCAAAACGCACGTGTTCTAGATTTGGCCAATATCCAGGCGCCAGACGGCGAGCAAGTCGTTTCGCGTTCCTCTCTTCCGGCCTAAAAACTTATTTTTGAAAAAACTACACGAAACCTACCAAAGAACTGAAGCGCAACAACGTTGGATTGAGCGGCAGCTTGGCCTCAAGCGTGTGGCCCACCGGGTTGAGCGCATCGTCGGCCGCCAGGTTTTTCATCCTAAATCATAGATTTAGAAATAGAGCTTGACCAACTCCAGCTGGCCCTCGCGTATCATCATCGGGAAGTATCGTCAGGCAGCCGGCGCGAAGGAACAGCTTCAAGCTGAACCCTAAAAATTATGGTCTTAGAAATCGTCAAATTAATAACCTCTTGGCGAGGCGGTTCCGCAACTTCTTCGAAAAGTGCGCTCGATGCAGTGCTAGTCGTTGGAAGGCCGTGAACCGACGGATCGAACCTAGAAAAAAGCTAAAAAACCTTTCCAGAAAACAAGTGCAGAACTTTTTCTCTCCTATTCTCTTTTAAGCATTTTCTAAATCTAGGAAATACAGAAAAAAACTGTGATTACCTTTTCCGGACGATCCACGAAGCCCGCTGCGCCGAATCTCGCGGTAGGCGGTGAAGTGGGTGTGTGGGACGAGATTGAGCGCGATTCCATGGAGCTGAAAGAAACCATACTGTGAATGCGGAATCCAAAATCCATTTCTAACTGCTTTTTTCCACAAAGTACACACTTGAGCCGTCGTCAATTCGTTTCCCGCATTCTTGTCGGTGACGTACGCGGCGCCCGTCTCAACGGTAGCTAGGCGTCTAAAAGTTATTCGAAGTCTTTTTAAAACGTAAATCGCACCTCCTCCGGGTACAGCTTGTGCCGAACTCCCTTGCTACCCGGCACGCCCATCGTCGACAGGTAGGAGCCCTAAAAGTATTGAGCCAACAAAGAGAAATGTTTACCGCCGGGCGAGCTACCTCGACAGCCCTGTTCGTGTCGACAAACTCGATGTGGATCATGCGTTTCCCTGAAAAAGGGGTTTTCGTAATCAAAAGAAACTATTTTTAGCGCGACGAAAAAAATGAAAAACGGCGCGTGAAAATTTTTGCGCTGGAGATTTGTAACGGTAAAGCTTCGATAACTATCAGCACGAATTTTGCACCAACCCGTAAACATTGCAACCTGGAGCGTAAAAAACTACATACCACATAAATTTCGTATTTTTAAAAATAATAAGCACCAATCGTCTCCTCAAAAATTCCTCCTCGTCGTGCTCGCGCGCGCATCTTGCTTCCGTCCTGCGCCTGCTCCTTTGACTCTTCGCTTTTTCTTTTCATTTACGAGCTCTGAACCGGGTTTTGAGATCATACTCTTCCGCAAAAGAACCAATACCCACTGTCGTTTTCTTGCGATCCGAGGCTCCATCGATTCGTTCAGAGATTTATGGCCTGATGAAATACCGGTGAAACGACAAGTTCCTGATTTGTGGTAAGTTTAAAGCGACAAAGCTCTTTACATGGGGAGTAAGATCAGGTTTTGTTCAAGCGGCCTGAGGTGCAGAAGCACGCTAAAAAAAGGCAAGGGAAAATTTCACTTTACGGTAACTAATACCGTACCGATTTTTTCGTTGGAATCGATAGATCTCGTCGAGTTCTATCATTTCCAGTTAAGAAAAAACTGTTGGGACTCCCTTCTACAAAAAGTTATAAACATTTTAAATTGGCTGGATTCGCTTTTCGGTAACTAAATAAAATCTCGATTTTCGACTGGAATCGATAGATCTCGTCGAGTTCTCGCCTTTCCAGTTGAAAAACGATTGGGATCCCACTTTTAACGAAAGTTATAAACATTTTCAAGTGGATTGGTTCACTTTACGGTAACCCAACTTGTAAAATGCGATTTTTCGCCTGGGATAAATCGATCTCGTCGAGTTCTTGCATTTACAATTGAAAACCTTTGGGAAGAGTTGTTCGGAGGAGGCTACACTATATTTTGACATTTGACTGTGACATTGTCAGGCAAGGCGGGCCGTCGCTTCGGATGGGCTGCCGCTCCACTCTTTCGAATGGGGCGCCCCCGGCCACTTCGCCGGCCTTGGCGCCCCCATTTCGAAACCCTGTACGAACTCGCACCCATCCGAGGCGACTAGGCCCCCGGTGGCACGAAGCCTTTTTCTAGTCGCAGAGCAGAGGAAGTAGCGGTCACTTCCCTCCAAATTGAGTGACTCCTGTTGCAAAACCGTCTTTTTTTTGTTTCAGAAGTTCAGAGATTCGGAGGAAGTGCAAAATGTGTTGCTAATAAAGTTTTCCCTTTGCCTTTTTACGCGACCCCGTATTTGGTACCTTCCAGTACGTTCACAACTATTACGTTTTTTCCATGCACCGAGGAGTCCCTCGTAGCCGAAGCCGACTTTTTCGATGCGGGGTGGTTGGTTTAAAGCAGCTATAATTTTTGTTAAAAAGCGGGTCCCAATCGTTTTTTCAGCAGGAAACGCGAGAACTCGATGAGGATCTATCGATTCCAATCCGAGAAATCGAGATTTTATTTAGTTACCGTAAGTGAACTAGCCAATTTATAAATGGTTATAACTTTTTTTAGAAGCGAGTCCCAATAGTTTTTTTCAGCTGGAAATGACAGAACTCGACGAGATCTATCGGTTACAATCAAAAAATCGGCGATCTATTTAGTTACCGTAAAGTGAAATTTAG